CCCATCCCCATCCCCATCCCCATCCTCCTGGGGATCATCCTGATCCTCTCACCAGGGGATCGGTGCTCCAGCTTCCCGCAGCACTTCCCAGGGGACACCCAGGGCACCTTTCTCACCAGCACACGTTTTGCTGCAGATCACCAAATTCAGCTAAAATTCGGGAAACTCCCGCTTCTGTTTTGGGGTGGGGGGCGCAGGGGACAGAAGTCGGGTCTGCGTGTCCCCCAGTGGAGGGAATAAAGTCACTGCAGGAACAGGCCGAGCACGTGCAGGTGACATTCCCCCGCAGGGGCATTTCTGCAGACACAGACGTGCTTCTGCCGGGGAAATTTATCCTTCAAAATGCACTTGGAGGGACAGTTTAATAAAGACTGCCTGCCCTCTGCCTCTGGAGCGTGCCTCCAGAACGTTACTGGGCGGGAAAATGCAGTGCTGACGCTTCAGAGCTTTGAGTGGATCGAACTGCTAAGAGTAATTCACTGCTGACAGGAAGCCTAAACTTTATTTATTGATGAAACAACTTCACATGCAGCTGGGCAATGAGAAGAGCCGCTGCACTTGAGCAAAAGTTACAAACGTTCGGCAGGGTCTCCGTGCTTTATTAACTTCAGGGCCATAAGATGCTGCCTGGGGGGGTGGCAGAGATGTTCCCCGAGGTTTTTAAGGGTCAGGACACCCTCCTGAGGGTGCACTGAGCCAGGGGATCCAGCCCTGGGAGCCCCCCGGGCTCTGCGGAGTCTGTCACTTGTGGATTCACTCCAGGTGCCAGGTGCTGGAGCATCCTCTCGTCTCCCTGTACAGAAACAACACAACTCCCTGCGGTTTGCAGTTCTGCAGAGCTCATCTGGGCACCAAAGGCTCTGCTGTTAACCTGCAGTGCTGGGCCACCCCACCCTGTCCCCACAGACAGCTCAGATCGACAGCAACACCCTCTGCACCTTGCCATTGCCATCTCCCCGGCTTTCACTTTGTCACTGCCATCTCATCTGTGGGCACAAAGTCCCCAGATTTCACGTTTTAATTGGGATCTCTGTGGAAACAAAGTCCCTGGATTTCACTTTGTCATTGGCATCTCATCTGAGGGCACAAAGTCCCCGCTTTTCGCGTTTTAACTGGGATTTCTGTGGTCACAAAGTCCCCAGTTTTCACTTTGTCATTGGGATCTCTGTGGTCACATAGAGTCACATTTTCACTCTGTCACTGGGATCTGTGTGGTTACAAAGTCCCAAGTTTTCATGTTTTAACTGGGATCTCTGTGGTCACAAATTCCCCGGATTTCACTTTGTCACTGGGATCCCTGTGGGGACATAAAGTCACATTTTCACTCTGTCACTGGGATTTCTGTGGTCACAAAGTCCCTGGATTTCCCTTTGTCATTGGGATCTCTGAGGTCACAAAGAGTCACGTTTTCACCTTTTCACTGGGATCTCTGTGGTCACAAATTCCCTGGATTTCACTTTTTCGCTGGGATCTCTATGGTCACATAAAGTCACATTTTCACTTTTTCACTGGGATCTCCTTGGTCACAAACTCCCCGGATTTCCCTTTGTCTTTGGGATCTCTGTGGTCACAAATTCCCCAGATTTCACTTTGTCACTGGGATCTCTGTGGGGACATAAAGTCACATTTTCACTTTGTCACTGGGATCTCTGTGGTCACAAAGTCCCCGGATTTCACTTTTTCACTGGGATCTCTATGGTCATGAAGTCCTCGGCCAGCATCACCTCCTGGCCGTCCAGCACGGCCTCGGCCTGTCCCCTGAGCTGCTGCAGCTCGGCGTGGCCGGCTGTGTACCGCTGGCTGAAGTGTGTCAGCACCAGCCTCTTGGCGCGGCACTGCCGTGCCAGCCGCGCGGCCGTGCCGGGGGTGCTGTGCCCGCGCTCCCGCGCCTTGTCCTGCTGGCTGTCCCCCAGCGTGGCCTCGTGCACCAGCAGGTCAGCCTGCTGGCACAGCCGCAGCGCCCCGGCCCCCAGCGCCCCCGAGCAGTCGCCCAGCACGCAGATCTTCCTGCCGGGAATGGGCGCCTCCAGCACGTCCGCGGGATGCAGCGTGGCTCCGCTCTCCAGCACGATGGCAGCCCCGCTCTTCAGCCTCCCGTACAGGGGGCCTGGCTGGACTCCTGGCAGGTAAAGGCAAAGCAAGTGTCACACTCGTTATGTTACTGTGTCAGCTTTAGCTGTCTCACACAACTCAGTATAAAATTCAATCGGTATTTCACATTTCTGGTATGAATTAAGAGCTCGTAGCCTGAGCGGGAAGGGTGTTTGGAGAAAATCCTAGAATGGCTTGGGTTGGAAGGCACCTCAGAGCTCATCCTGCCATGGGCAGGGACAGCTTCTGCTGCCCCAGGGGGCTCCAGCCTGGCCTTGGACACCTCCAGGAACGGGGCAGCCGCAGCTGCCCAGGGAAATGACATAAAAACCCTAACTTTATAGCTGGTATGAAAGTCAGCAACTGGCCATGTGTTCTCCTGAAAGCCACGCTGAGCTGTTTAAATGTTGGCACCTGAGACCTTTGTAGCTGCTCCCAGAAGGAAAGGGGTCTGTGGTATTCCCACACACCAGCTCAGAGTGCTGCACGGGGCTCAGGTGCCAGAGCGGAAAACCGAGCCAGGACAGACGGCAGCACCTCCCATCTGCTACAACCCGCAGGAAGCTGCTCAGAAAAGAGGCAAAAAGAGGAAAAATAAGTCAGAGTAGCTACCAAGATCTTTCAGTTTCTGCACGTTGAGCTTCCCAGGCCGGGGCTTCTCTTCCAGCACGAAGCCGAAGGAGGGCACGCGGTGGAAGAGGCGGAACGCTCTCACAACCAGCTGCTCGTCCTCCACCAGCAAGTAGGAGTCTTCTGCTGGATCCAGGTGCAGAACTCTCCCTGGAGGCCCCTGGGGAAGCGCCTCAGCCCTGTCCAAGCCAGAGAAATCCTTGAATTCCTCTGCGGGGCACTGGTCCCGCGTGGGGACCAGCTCGTGGACGGTGTAGGGGAAGAGGAGCTGCGAGTGGGACAGCTCCAGGCTCCTCCAGAGGAAGCTCCGTAGCCCCAGTGGCCCGTAAATATCAACGGGGGCTTTGCTGCCATCGGGGCTGCTCTGGAGGCTGAGCGTGCACAGCAGCCCAGGAAGCCCAAAGATGTGGTCGCCGTGAAGGTGGGTGATGAAAATCTTGGTAATTCTGGCTGTTGATTCAAACGGGAAAAGACAAAGAAGACAGGAAAATAAACAATGCAACTGCTCAGAAATGGCTCGGCAAGACTCTTCAAATAAGGAAGGAGGGAAACTGAAAGCAGTGTTTAACAAAGAAATCCCAAAGCAAAGGGTATTTCTGTCACATCCCTCCCACAGCAGGTTTATTCTGGCCTGATATGGCAAGAAGAGGCTGCAGAGATGCAGGTTTGGGCTCCTCCTAAGCCAAGCACTCCACAAACACAGCATGGGACTGGCTGGCGACATCTGCCTCGTGAAATGAAAAGAAGAGCCGGGAAGCATTTGACCTTAAATCCTCCAGGAAAACTCTGGACTAATGGGAAACACAATGAGGAATTTGTGTCACTCCTCCTTTCGACTCCAGCCCATGGAACGAACAAAACCAAAAATAACCAAAACCGAACCAGCACGCAGTTTTGACTTCAGAACTTTTCAAGAGGCAGGAGCCCCAGCGTTCCTGGCTGGTTTGTTTAAAACAAGAGAAGAATTGCTCTGTAAAAGTCTGGGCTTTCGTTTGTGCCTGAGCTTCTCGCTGCGCTGGGCTGGAAGAGCCCAGAACTCTCTCTTGTTGCAGACACGTGTCCTTCAACCAGGCTGCTGAGATCCCCCCTCCACACAGCACCTGCTGGGACTGAGACAGGGGAATGACACAATCCCCTTCGTTTCAAGACGAACTAAATTAAAAAAATGCACAGAAATTAGTCTATCTACCTGCCATTAAATTCCCTGAGAGGTTTTGGAGGAGCAGGGGCTTGTACTCTTGTTTGTAACAATTCATCTTCACTCCTTGGGAGACAAAAGTCAGCTCCTGCCGCTGAGGAGGGAGAGAGCACAGCGACTGGAGGAGAGCTTGGTGTCAGATTTGTTTGCCAAACCGTAAAGGTTACCCCCGCACACACAGCCTCGCTGGAAAAGAAACATTTACCCACAGGAAGGCTCACCGCAGGTTTCGTCTACAGACAGCAAACCGCTCCTGTTTTAACCTGCTCTGCCCGGGAAGTTAATGCAGTCTGTCTCTGCCGAGGGGCAGCCAGAGATTGCTGCAGAGCAGGTTGGGCAGCCCCCGCCGCCCTCCCTTCCTTACCCTGCCAGCTGCCGGCCGAGCACAAAGCGCTCGCATCTCCCCGAGCTTCTCCCCTGCCCTGCCCATCACAACAGCCCAACCTGCTCGCAGGTGGCTCCTCATCAGCTGCGTCTGCGTCCCCTCGCCGCAGTCGAAGAGCCAGCACTGCCCTTCCCTGCGCAGCACCAGCGCCGAGGCACCCCGCGCCGGGGTCGGGTAGGCAGCGCCCGTGCCCAGGAAGGTGATCTCCAGAGACATCCCCAGGGTGGGAAACACCTGGAACACAGATTGGAGCTGCCAGGCAATGATCCCTGCTCCCCGGGACAGGGACAGCACCCAGGGAGCGGCTGGAGCTGTGCCAGGGAGGTTCAGGTGGGATATCAGGGCAAGGTTCTTCCCCCAGAGGGTGCTGGCACTGCCCAGGCTCCCCAGGGAATGGTGACATTCCCCAGGCTGCCAGAGCTCCAGGAGCCTTTGGACAGCGCTGCCAGGGGTGCCCAGGCTGGGATTGTTGGGGTGTCTGGGCAGGGCCAGGAGCTGGAATGCAGGATCCTGGTGGCTCCCTCCAGCTCGGGATATTCTGTGGTTTGATGTATTTATGCAGGGAAACCAACAAACATTTAAGTGCAGACATCTTCCACAGCTCAGTATGAGGAGAAAATTCCCTTTCCCTTAAAACATAAAAGTAAAAACCCCCTAGAGCAGGATATGACTTTCAGACAACACCTTATTTACGAGCAGAGATTTCCTTTTTATGTCGGTGGAAGACTGTAAACACACAGCCCAAGCACAAGCCCTCTGTGGGTTACCAGAGAAAACAGCCCTATCCAGTTGGAACAGCTCTAATCTCTAGCCCCACCATTATTTATTTCCTCCGAGCTCTTTAAACGCCGAGTTTTCCTGCCTGGGCCTTCCCTCTAGGAGCCTTTTCAGGATGGCTTTCAGCAAACAGTCTGTGCTGACACTCAAACACCATTCCCAGATTTCAGGAGCGAGCAGCCCCGAGACGCAGAGGGGCAAGGGTCACTGGTCCCACCAGAGCCAGGGGTGACGCCGGGCACAGCTGTCCCAGCCCAAACATCTGTCCATGTGTCTGTGACCATGAGGATGAGAGGCAGGCTGGTCTGCAGGGCCGGGCAGCCTCTGGACAGCTGTGCCAGGACATCCACGTGGATGGACATCCGACATGGACAGCCCACTGCCCTCTCACCTCACAGCCTGCGCTTCCTCCGGCCCTGGTCCGCCCAGAACCTGCTCCTGCCTTGTTTTCACAAGAATTTAAAACTCCAGGTCCCTTAACATCTCAAGATAGCTTTCAAAATAATTTCTCAATTTCAGTTGTTTTTAGAGCAGTTTCCGCAACCTTCTGGTTTGTTTTTTTTTCCCTGGGAGGGTGGGCAGGCCCTGGCACAGGGTGCCCAGAGCAGCTGGGGCTGCCCCTGGATCCCTGCAGTGTCCAAGGCCAGGCTGGACAGGGCTTGGAGCAGCCTGGGACACTGGAAGGTGTCACTGCCATGGCAGGGGTGGCACTGGAAGGCTCTGAGGTCCCTCTAACCCAAACTGGATTCCAGAATTCCAAAAGAAAGAACTCTCCCCCCAGGTGGGCTTGCAGGTGAGCCAAGGTGCAACCTGACCTTGGGGGCTCAGGGGAGCGATGGTTCACGTCCATCACAAACCAAGCTGAAGAATTAAACACTGCAAATATTTGCATTTTCTTCTTCCTCTGTGTAAAATCATAGAATTGCAGAATAATTGAATGGTTTGGGTTGAAAGGAACTGTGAAAATACTTGTATTCCAACCCCCCTGCCATGGCAGGGACACCTTCCAGTGTGCCAGGCTGCTCCAAGCCCTGTCCAGCCTGGCCTTGGACACTGCAGGGATCCAGGGGCAGCCCCAGCTGCTCTGGGCACCCTGTGCCAGGGCCTGCCCACCCTCCCAGCCAGCAATTCCTTCCCAATATCCCAGCTGGGCCTGCCCTCTGGCACTGGGAAGCCATTGCCTGTGTGCTGTCCCTGCAGGCCTTGTCCCCAGTCCCTGGGCAGCTCTCCTGGAGCCCCTTTAGGCACCGCCGGACCGACCCTCCCTTCACCACCCCGGCTCCGCCCGCGCTTCCCGGCCCGGTGTCGCGGCATGTGGGAACACGATGGGGTCCGGCGGGGCCCGGGACACGCGGATGGGCTCTCGGGGCCCGGGGAAGGGCTCTCGGAGCCCGGGGAAGGGCTGTCGGGGCTATCGGGGCCCGCTCCCGGCCTTACCTCGGCGGGCGGTGTCAGGCGGGGCCGGCGCGCGGGGCGGGGCCGTGAGGGCAGAGCCCGCCCTGCCGGCCGCACTCCCGGGAAAGCGCGGCGATAAATTGTTTCTTGGAATTCATTATATGGAAAAAGACCAAGCGTTGGAGCTGCAGCTGGGTCAGGGCAGCCCCTGGGATCAATCCAGGGTGGGGATGAGCAGAGGGAGCAGCACTGGGAGAAGGACCTGGGGGTGCTGGGGGTGAGAGCTGGACCTGCCCCAGCCCTGAACCCCCCTGCCCTGGGCTGATCCCCCAGTGTGGGCAGCAGGGGAGGGGGGATTGTGCCCCTGTGCCCCTGTGCTCAGGTGAGACCCCACCTGCAGAGCTGCCCCAGCCCTGGGCAACAACAGCACAAGGACGTGGAGCTGCTGGAGCCAGCCCAGAGGAGGCCACGCAGCTGCTGCCAGGGCTGGAGCCCCTCTGCTCTGGAGCCAGCCTGGGAGAGCTGGGGCTGCTCCCCTGCACAAGAGAAGGCTCCAGGGAGAGCTGAGAGCCCCTGGCAGGGCCTAAAGGGGCTCCAGGAGAGCTGCCCAGGGACTGGGGACAAGGCCTGCAGGGACAGCACACAGGCAATGGCTTCCCAGTGCCAGAGGGCAGGCCCAGCTGGGATATTGGGAAGGAATTGCTGGCTGGGAGGGTGGGCAGGCCCTGGCACAGGGTGCCCAGAGCAGCTGGGGCTGCCCCTGGATCCCTGCAGTGTCCAAGGCCAGGCTGGACAGGGCTTGGAGCAGCCTGGGACACTGGAAGGTGTCCCTGCCCATGGCAGGGGGTTGAACTGGATGATCTTTAATGTCCCTTCCCACCCAAACCATCCTCTGATTCCATGATTCTAGAAAAACACCATAAAAATCATCACATCCAACCATTTACAAAGCCCCTTGGCAAAGGGCCTTTTCAATCCTGGACAGATCAATAATTTTTGGGTTTTGGTTTGGGTTGTTTTTTTTTTTTTGCTTTTTCAGAATAAAAAACATCAGGTACAACTTAGGCAAAGGGAATGCATTTTACTAAGAAAATAGAAGACTAGAACACACATTTCAATAGAGTTACAATGTTATAAAGTAGGAAGAAACCCCAACCAGTCCACATTTTACGCAGAGTTTTAGTTTCAGCTGAGCAATGACCCTCGCAGGCACAGCCAAGCCGGCACACATCAGGCTGGAACTGCTCTCACCAGCGCCCCAGCAGGCTTACATTGATTTGCCTAAGGTAGATATGTTTAAGATAGAAATAAATGCAGATTATTTTGCCGTTTTGTTGAGAAAGCAGCCATCTTCAGTCCCAAGGGTGTTTTTATTCCCGCTAAGGAAGGATGCAGCTGAGGAAGGGATGAGGCAAAGTCAGTGGCTGGTGGAGAGCCAAGTTCAGTCCAGCGCTGGCCTCGTGTGCCCGGGGAACACGACGGCCCAGCAGCACGAGCAGGACAAACGGGGGTGACAGAAGCTCTTCCTCCAGCTGTGCTCCCCGAGCCAGCGCCGTGCCCACGGAGAGCGTGGGTTCGAGCTGTATTTTGCTACAGAACCGAGGATACGTGGGGCTCGGTGCTCGCCGGGAGCCCCACGGCGCGCTGACGCCGCGCTGGTGCGCTCCTGGCAGCGAGCAGGGTGCCTCCAGCAGCGGCAGCTGAATGGCTTTGCTCAAATTCAGCTGCCAAGGCAGTGCAGCCAGAGCCTGGCTCTGCAGTCAGAGCTCGGCTCTGCGTTTCCTCTCTCCACGAACACCAGCCCTGCCCGCTGCCCACAGCTCTCACGGGACGGGGCAGCGGCGTGGGTCATCCCGAGGAATGCAGCGATGACGGCGGTTCTGAGCGCAGGGAGCACTCAGGACGGAACAGCAGCCCAAAGTGCTCTGGCACAGACGGGAGACAGCTCTGTGTGACCCGCAGAGGAGCTCGGCTCTGCAGCTCTGCCAAGGAAAAACAGCCGGGACTGCGCCAGGGTCAGCTGAACTAAAACCAGGGTTGGAGCTCTACAACAGTGATCCCCACTTTCCCACAGGAACAGTCACCACGCAGGGCTGCTAACGAGAAGCTAAAAGGTGCATCGTTCATCTTTGCAGGAACTACCGGAGGAGTGTGACAGAGTTACTTTATCCCCATGAAACAGCGTGCTGGAAACAACAGTACGAGAGGAAGACACGCACCGACCACAGGAAACCTGTTACACACCACTCTGCAGGGTAAGTGCCACTCGGTTTGAAGCTTGGGAAACGAACACAAAGGGTCAGGATGCACCACTGTCCACAAACGCAGCTGAGAACTTGTGCCACGGGTCACACCGGGGGTTTAAAATACATCAGACACAGCACTTTAATCGTCGCCTTCCACATGCCATGTGGAGACCTGGGCAGAGGCATCAGGAACGCACAGACCTTTGCAACATCTCTGAACAAAAACACACGTGTTTTATAAAGAAAGGCTGTGCTTGATTAGATACTTTTACTGTCCCCTGAACGTTCCTACAGGTCGCTGCCAAGAGGCTCAGCCAGGCTGATTTTAAGGAAGCAAGGACTGGATAAATCCTGGAAGAGCCTGCCCTCAGGGAAGCTCCTGATGCTCTCGGAAGGGTTCTGCGTGCCCCAGAGACATGGAAGACAGTCTTTTGTATCATTTGGAGGGCGAGTCACCTGGGCTGTGTGACAAGCTACAACACTGGTGGTCCTCTAGGTGATGTATTTTTTTAACTTACACTACGTAACACGACGAAATGCATCCTGGTGACACCTGTTTCCCTTTGCATGCTGTCTAAAGAGAATTTTCTGTACAGACAAAGATGGGTAAATATTTTGAATAAGCCAGCAAACAGAAAAAAAAAATCATGTTAAGAATAATATGGAAAAGGAAACTGGTTCCTTACTAGCCAGCGAGATTAGCAGTTGTAATTAGTTCAAGGATTAATTGTACCTGAAGAACAACTGGGCATGAATCTGTGTATCTGAAGATTTGACATATCAAAAAAAAGATATCCTGGAGGAGATGGCAGAGGGGGTGAAATGGAGTTAACGCTCTGTGAGCTGGCCTGCTGCCAACAGGGAAGAGTGGAAGGGAAAATCCCACATGCCCACACTGCAGGGCACGCAGAGCCAGACAAAGCCCAGGAGGTGAGCACGGCCCAGGTGCCACAGGGGACAGAGCCAGCCGGGCTGCTCCTGACAGCGGGATTCCCAGGAAAATTACTATGCAGCGACATTTGTGCTTGGGAAAGCCCCGCTGCCAGCCGGCTCTCAGCAATCCCTCCTGGCATCTGCTGGAAGACAGCAGGGAGGCTGTGCCAGAGAGGAGATTGCTCACAGCACGTGTGGGAGCTCCCTTTGGGAACCGGGAAACCCAAAAATCCCAAAGCAGGGCCCTGCTGCCCGCAGCCAGCGCGGCTTTCCCAAGATCCTGCTTTTCCTGGGCACTACCCGTGGCCACGGGTTACGGACAGCAGCGGCAAGCCTTGAAAATAAAATAAGCGGACTGAAGGAGCGGCTGTGGATCTGTGTTTCCCACAGGGACCGGTTCTCCTGCCTCTGGGACGTGAGATCAGTGCGTTTTGGGGTGTTTTTGTTACTGGTCTAACTGGGCAGGAGGGAGGAGGCGTGTGTTCCCAGTACTCTGGAACCCAGCGATGCACAACTCCACTGGCACAATACAACAGGCTTCAGACACAGCTGGGTTTTCAGAAGGCAAAAACAATCCATACGCTGAATAAATAATTATTTTTCAGTAGGACCACTAACTTAAATACGATAAAAACAAGGCATAGCAAAAATAGATGAAAAAAGCACTCTTTGTAGAAACATCCTCTGAGTGTGTGTGTGTGTGTGTGTGTGTTGGTGTCTTTTGTACATTTACTTGCAGGTGCAAGCTCCTGTCCACGTGCACCTCAGGACTCAGCAGTGAAGCACTTCCCACCACACAACACTTTACCACAGCTTGAACACCACAGGTTTTTCCCTGCACCACTCTTTTCTGTGTTTATATAATCAGTCTTCTTTCCCCACTTAGGGGGAAAGTTTACTGTTCTTTGTATCAATGTAATTTTACAGCCAGAGACTGGGCTGTAGGTGCCTAAGGGGGTTCTGAGACCATTTTCCCTGCTCTGTTCTGGCCTGTTCTGTGGAGACTGCATTTTCCTACATAATTGAGGATACAAGAGCAGTGTTTGCCACGGCTAAATCCCAAGCAAGCTTTACTTTATCTCTTTGGATGATGTTTGCCAGCACAGCGCTGCTATCTCTCTATTTTATTTACTCCTGTCCTACCCCTGCCTTGCTGCAGCAAGCTGTGGAACAGCACAGATCCTGCTTTTTTTTTTATTTTTTATTTTTATTAGCAGATTATTTCTGCTCCTGGCACATCACTGCTCTGGCTGCAGGGACCACACTCGGGGGAGTCACAGACCATGGCCCTCACTGGGTGTCCCTGCCTGTCCCTGGTCACTTCAGTCTCTCTGCCCCACAGCCAGGGGATCACACACTGTGGTTTCTGTAGCAAACATGCAGCACAACCCCTGGCAAGGGAAAACTCCGCTGGAGATTTCTGTTTTCACACAAGAGCTCTGACAAACTAGACCTGCAGGTGGAGTGAGGTGGAGCGATGGTAGGCATGGCGTTTTTGAGTCCAGTACTCACACTGCCACAGGAAACATTCAGTCAGACTGGTGCAAACAGCTGCCTGACACCACTCTCAGCTTCATCTGCTGCCTACAGGGCGCTTGTTCCAAGTGAGTCCACTTTGGAGCTTTCGAGCCAGCAGGGCCATAGGACATCACACACGAGTCCTTTCGTGAGGCCGAGGGGGTGCAAGGGAGAAAACAACCTGGCTTAGACAAAACAGAATCTTGAAACAATTAAAAAAATTAAATAAAAATCCTTTGGTACGTCATCTCGAGTCCGTTGCGTAAAACTTCCTTGTAAAATCTCTAAGAGATTTCCATAAATTACTTCAGGTCCTACCTCTACCCCATAAAATTCACCCTGCGACAGCGCCGCTTTGTTTCTAAAAGCTGTTAAGTGATTGATATGATTTTCAGGCTTCCCAAGGACAATCTGAACTAGTTCACATTTTTCCTGAGAACAGATTTCACCGAGGGATGAAAACAAAACTGCCAGCTTTGCTGCAGACTCCGCACGTGTACATCTGGCTGCCCCTCAAGGAAACAGCAGCCAGTGCCACAAGGATATCAGGACATGGGCATCTTCAAACATTAAACAAAACAGAAGGCCCATCAGACTCTTGAACTTGTCTTTAACTGCCCCTTTTTTCCTTTTTTTTTTTTTTTTATGAGAAGTGGTCTCCCTTGATGCCACAGCTAATGCAGTGTGACAGCACTAGGACAATTAGAAGACTGATTATTAAAGGCAGAAATAAATCATTCTGGAGATCAGCAGAGATGAGAGAGCTACAGTCCATCACCAAACACACGGAGTGGAAAACATCATCAATGGAGTTCTTCAGTGTGGTGCTGGCTCTGAGCTAGAAGTGCAATGTCATCGTTTAAATTAATTTTGGAGGGCTCTCTCATCCCTGTGGCTGTCATCCACACCGTTCGTCAGGTACTTGGGAGAAACCAGGTAAAAAACGGGGTGTAAGGAAGGGGGGAAAAACAAAACAAACAAAAAAAAAGGCAACAAAATGAGCGCGAATAAATTAGAGGAGCCCAAGACGGTGATTTTAGTTGTTGTGAGAAGGGATCCCTGCAGAGTAGGCGGTGCTGCCTGAGGAGTGCGGCGCGTCAGTGCACCTTGGACTCGGGCCAGTCGTACACGTCCGGCATGAAGGACTCGTACTCGTAGGTCCAGACCTTGGAGCGGATGTAGCGGTCCTTGTCGGCGGGCTCGGGGTAGTGGAAGGCCATGTTGTTGGCGTACAGGAACTCCATCACCTGCGCGGGGTGAGAGCAGCGCCGCTCGGTGCCTGCTGCCCGCCCCGTGTGCCCCACACAGCCCCTCTGAACCCCACTGCACACATCACAGCGGTTTGTCCTGTGCCTGCTGCCTATGGATGCTAAATCTGAACCAGAGTGCCTGTAGTTATTACAGGCCACATAGCTCTCAGTCCTGCCTGAGAGCTAGCCTGAGAAATTCATGGGAGGATTTAAAAACAATCCTCAAAGACAGAAAACAGCCCTTGCAGGTGTTGTTGTCTGTCTCTTGTTTTCTTTGCAGGAGAAAGTCAGGGGGATGGTATGCACCACTGACCAATGATGGTGTAATGGTTTGCTAACCAGTAAGAGTTTCCTTTCTGTACTTTCCACCTATTGGTCTATAAAGAGACCTGAAGCAATAAACTAGAAAAATTCTCCTGTTCTGACTCCATGAGAGTCTGTGTCGTCTCTATCCAGCCGGTGCTAATAGAGCAACACTGCTGCCCAGCCCACGCAGCCAGAGAAGGAGAGGTGTTTGTGGCTCTGTGCTTTATGAGCACCTCTTACTGCAGGCACAAAGCAGCGGGCGTTCTGTGCCCGAGCACCTGGCGCTCAAGGGTCGCTCTGTGCGATCCAGCGGGTTAATGCACACATAAACCACTTGTACCGCAGCGCAATTTTGTGTTTTGTACTCACCTTGACAGCAATATAAATAGAAACTTCCCTGATATTGGACAGCGGAGGATAAAGTCTTCCTTGTGCGAGCTCTTCATCTGTCAACTGCTCCGCCAAGGCCTGAGATAGAGAAACAAACATTTCTTATTTACTGCGCCCCAAATGTGACTAATAACATGCTAGAACAGCCGAGAGAATCGAGTTGTAGTGCTCCTAGCACCAGAGTGTCCCCAAAGCACCAAAGCACAGAGGCAGTCAGGATCTCGACATTTTCAGTCTGAGGAACTGAAAATCAGCACACCCTGACTGATTTATTTTACATTTAGCATTTAGCAAAATGTTATTTGGGGGATGAATTCCCGTATTTTGGGAGCTGAGTTCCCCTGGCCACAGTGCCAGCTGCAGAACGCAGGGCAGGGCAGGAGGCAGCCCTGCTGCCACAATCATTTACACAGGGACACACTTCATTCAAACTCCAAGGGAACCCGATTCTGGGCACAATCTCGTTCGATCAGAACACCCTTTTGGTTTTGTTTTCTCCCCACTGTGGAGGGATAAAGAACAGGAAAGCACTGTGTTTCACCAGGATGTGTCAGAACCACAGCCTGCTCTGCTCCCAGACCCACCTTGGCAGCCTCTAGGAAAACCTTATCGCTGATGTGCCGGACGCTGCTGAGGATCACCGCCAGAGCCACGCCTGCAGGGAAACCACAGCGCCTCAGAACCACAGCCTGCTGCCCAGGAGCTGCCAGTCACTGCCAGCCCTCCCCTTTCATTTACCCTGAAAATCCTCCTGGAGCTTCCAGGGCAGCTCTGGGGCTGGAGCAGAGCTTGCAGTGCCCGTGGTTCCAGCCCCTGCCTGGGCAGGCACCCCTTCCACAACACTGCTGCCACGGGGGCACCACTGGCCACAGCAGCTGGCTTTCAGAAGGGGCTGGAGCTTTGCAGGGAGGAAAGGGGAAGGCACAGAACATCCCCAGTGCTACTTTTCCACCCTCTTTGTGCAGACACGACTTTAAGAACTAACTCTGAGAACTATTAACACAACTTCAAGTGCATATCAACGTTTGTTTTCTCCTTTCCTCCCCAAACAAGCAGCAGAAGCCATAATGCAGCAGCTTCCAAAGCCTTTAATGTAACACCCTCCTGTTTTCTCAGCAGCTGGGTTTGCTCACTGTGTCTCCTGTGCCCCTCATCCAGCCTCAACTGACTCATTTGGTCACTCATTTTCCCAAATTCCCAAAAGCTGACAACACCTCTGCTTCACTGACTGCGCCTCGTGCAGGAAGAGAACCCAGGAGAAGGTGCAGGCGGCTCAGTCTCGGAGATCAAACGGGAAGGGTTTAATTTATTACCTGGGAAAATGTACGCGTTGTTTCCTTGGCCTGGCTTGAAGGTTCTTCCATCCTTGAGCGTCACCAGCTCGAAGGGACTGCCGCTGGCAAACAGGCAGCGGCCCTGGGGAGAGGAACCATGGCTCAGGCGGCTGTGCAGGGCCAGCAGCAGCCCCCGGGCGGCCAGCTCAGCGCCAAGGAGGAGATCGTGAATTTCAGAGGAGATCCCTTATTTCATGGAGGAGAGCTGGGAATTTCACAGAGGAGATCCACGAATTTCACAGAGGAGATCCACGAATTTCACAGAGGAGATCCACGAATTTCACGGAGGAGATCCATGAATTTCACAGAGGAGATCCATGAATTTCACAGAGGAGCTCCATGAATTTCAGGAAGGAGAGCCATGAATTTCAGGAAGGAGAGCCATGAATTTCAGGAAGGAGAGCCATGAATTTCAGGAAGGAGAGCCATGAATTTCAGGAAGGAGAGCCATGAATTTCACAGAGGAGATCCATGAATTTCACAGAGGAGATCCACGAATTTCACGGAGATCCATGAATTTCACGGAGGAGCTCCATGAATTTCACAGAGATCCATGAATTTCAGAGAGATCCATGAATTTCACAGAGGAGATCCATGAATTCCACAGAGATCCATGAATTTCACAGAGGAGATCCATGAATTTCAGGAAGGAGATCCATGAATTCCACAGAGATCCATGAATTTCACAGAGGAGATCCATGAATTTCACAGAGATCCATGAATTTCAGGAAGGAGATCCATGAATTTCACAGAGATCCATGAATTTCAGGAAGGAGCTCCATGAATTTCACAGAGATCCCTGAATTTCAGGAAGGAGCTCCATGAATTTCACAGAGATCCATGAATTTCAGGAAGGAGCTCCATGAATTCCACAGAGATCCATGAATTTCACAGAGGAGATCCATGAATTTCACAGAGATCCCTGAATTTCAGGAAGGAGATCCATGAATTTCACAGAGATCCCTGAGTTTCACAGAGAAGATCAGTGGATTTCATGGCCTCTGACACACAGAACGGAGCGCTGGTGCTCCCCTCTCCCTTTTTGGCACCGCAGCCCCGGCCCCGCGGGGCCCTGCAGGTCCAGGGAGGCTGGGGCAGGCAGGGGTGGAAATAAAAGGTCATTTTCTCACTTTTGGAGGGTGGGAGGGCAGAGAGAGGCATATATTCTGCGTCAGACTCCTGGAGGAGTGAATAATGCAGTTTGTTTATCCTTCCACCGGGCAGGATTTCAATCAGCACAAAATATCAGAACGCGAGTGTGAACCACACCCTCTAGATAAACGATCCTCCTCTCCGGCAAGTAAAGTCAAAAAAATCTTTCTTTTGAGTAACAGGTTTAGGAACATCAGTGTAAAACCTTTACGGCTCACTGTGTTTGAAAACAAACCACCAGAGAAGCTGGAGGCTCTGGAAGTGTGTTTGAACAGGCACAGCAAGAGCCTTTTTGTGGAGGGAGCGAACAAATGGATGCGGGAGAGGCCGGCACCGAGAGACAAAGCGAATTAAAAGGCAGCAGAAGCCCGGGGAACAACACAGGAGCAGCGATACGCTGATTACAGCTGCCATCTAGCGGGAAAAAACCCAGCGAGGAGAGGGTGGTGACGGTGCCTTTGTTCCTTTGTTGCCTCCAGGGCAGGCTCAGACCTCACCCCAGGCCTGCGGACAGCACTGATCCCAATAAAAAAAATTATTTTAAATGGCGAGCCGTGGGTCCTTAGCTGGGGACATTTCAGAGAGCCAAAGAGCACCGTGAAAACAAACTGCTGAACCGCAGGAAAGTGCAGAGAAACAGAAACTTGACAGAATTTAGGAGCAAGGACTGGAACAAAAAACGACACCCGCGGTAACAAAACTGACCCGCAGTCAATAAATAAAAATAATTAATATAAATAAATAAAACTAATATAAATAAATAAAGTTAATATAAATAAATAAAATTAATATAAATAAATAAATAAATTTAATATAAAATAAAATAAATATAAATAAAAGAAAAATAAATACAAGAAAAATAAATAAAAGAAAAAATAAAAGAAAAAATAAATAAAAGAAAAAAATAAAAATAAATAAATAAAAAAATTAAGCACTTAATTATCCAAATAACCCACCCATACAAATAACCGCAAACGTGGAAAACCATCAACAAAAGAACAAATGGATCCTACACAGGGAAAAAAACCCCAAAGATCTTCTCTCCAGCGGGCTGAAACTTTACTGCAAACACCAGTGTGTTCTTCCACAGACGGGGGATGGCACCAGGCCTGATCCCAGGGAGCCCTGTGGTGTCCCTGCTCCCGACAGTGACAGTCACCTCCTGCCCAAACACGTCTGCCCATCTAATCTTTGCTCAGCCAGCGAAAGTGGGGCTGGTTCCCCCTCTAACTGTGCTCCTGGCCTCCTGCAGCTACAGATGGCAGCAGCTTTTACATTTATTTAGGCCAGCTGAAGTCTTGGTTGCACAACTCCTGTTTACCTTCTGTCCAAGGTAGATTTATATCTATATATAAATATGGGTTTATATACTGAAACACTGCCCAGCTCACGGCTCTGGTCAATGCAGGATATCTGGGAGGTGTTAAACCATCTTAACTTTAAAGCTTGTCCAGGGAACGGAGCTGGGAAAGGGGCTCAGCCTGGAGAAAAGGAGGCTCAGGGGGCCCTTGTGGCTCTGCACAAGTCCCTGGCAGGAGGGGACAGCCGGGGGGGTCGGGCTGTGCTGCCGGGGAACAGGGACAGGAGGAGAGGGAACGGCCTCAGGCTGGGCCAGGGCAGGGACAGGGGGGA